CATCACTTCTCGCAACCCTCTCTGGGCAGTCCAGGTCTGCTGTTGCAATGTTCTGGAAGGAGTCCGGTCCGGCCCTCATCAGCCAGAGCTGATGAATTCAAGATGAGCTCTTGAAAGGGAAAGGAGTTAAAAGCTAAATAGAGGACCCAGAAGAATCTCGCCTCCAATTAAAATGTTCCATTCAATTTAATCCTGAGATGATGCAGGGGATGAGATGCTCTCTTGGGGCAGTTGTTTTCCCTTGTCCTTTCACTCACTTCTCGCTGTGGTGGGGGCACTTGCTCCTATGGAGAATGCATCCTCTCCTCATTTAAACCCCTGACCGCTGCTGAATGCACCAGATACCACCCTGATATTTTGTGGCATTTCAGTGGCATGCCAGCACCTCAGCTGCAAGGGTTAACAAGACTATTGGGGGTGGGGGTGGAAAACAAGCTGTGAAATGGAAGAAGGTCAGTCTCTTGGAGGGTTTTGCTGCATCACAGATGGTTTTAAATTATCAGCCCATCTGCAGAAGGTGTTGTCTCTATTCCTTCCCCCAAAAGAACTCTGGTAAAACCAAGGCTGGAAATTGACACCTCTTATGACCAACTGTCTGACTAAATGAAAGAGCCCCCTGGTAGTTCAAGCAGAATCCCTACCATAACTCGTAATGGGAGTTTGGAATAAATAGCAGCAGGAGGACCCTTTTCAGCTAGAATCATACCATTTATGGGGGGAGCATCTACCGGCAAATTAAAAACCTGTTAGATCTGGGTGCTAGGAACCTCTTAGCTCCACTGGCTCTGCCTGTGCTAAATAAAAGTGATTACCCGCACTGGTAAGGCAGCTGAATTCCAGCAATGGGTAAAAGCCCATTAGAGAGGAAGTATGGGCCGGCGTGAAGGAAAGCTAGCTAACTTCCACAGCTTACATGAACAATCATGGTCTGTGGAAGGGGCTTGTGTGACATCAGACGTTATTATTCATGCTAAGGGTAAAGGCAGCAGATGAACATAGAAAAGTAGCTAGGCTGCCAATGTCCACTGATACTGAAAGCCAAGAGATGATGACTGGGCAATAAAAAGGTATAGAAAGGGGCCGTGGAAGTGGCTGCTGGAACACAGCCTTAATTCCCAAGGGATAAACAGGATATATTTCCCAGCAGCATATACAGGGCCTGATCCTCTTCTCACATACCCTGGTGTAACTCCACTGTCCTGGGTGGAGTTACTCACGATTTATACCATTGTACATGCAGAGTCCGGTCCATAGAGTCTGAAAACTGGCAGCCTTTTGCCCCACCAACTGGGAAAATAATGTCCTCATTTTCTTCTTTGTCCCCATTGTTTTCCTATATTGTAAGCCAGGGAAACACAAATACTGTCAGCAGACACAGCTAATGCTCATGGCCAAATAGAGGGCACGACGGAAGAATGATGCTAGGATTTCATGGTCATGTTTTCCACTTTAATTTGTCTTTTCAAAATAATTTGGGGAAAGTGCTGATCTCTGGCCCTGGAGGGGGAATGCCTCCATTTACCCCAGAAGAGGTGCTGCTGAGGCCCCGGCAGGGCAAACTTCTCTGCCAGGGTGCCTCACCCCTGCCTTGGAGAAAACCCATCTGGGAGCTGAAGGAAAGGTTGCTGTTCATGGCCCTTTCAGTCTTTGGTCTCTACAGTGCGAGTGTCAGCCGGAGTGGTGGATTTTTATCATGTGCTCCCTTCCCTACCCACTTGAAACTCAACGGAGATTGACCAAGCTCTTCTAACATAGGCCACCAAAAGGGACCCAGACACCTAGAGGTAAATGGCTCATTACCTATTACCAACTCCCTGAGTGAGCTTCTCCCCGTGGGGACTTTATTTTAAAGGAAGCAGCACAAAAGGAAAAGAAAATTAACATTACTACCATCCAGAGTTGAATGAATAATGGACCCCCGGCTGGGCTGGCTTGACTCTTTGGTTCTCTGTGCATTGTGCTGCAATGAGGAGGTGGCTTTGAGACCCGTACTGCCCAGCTCCACTTGGGCTGGGAGCCTTGCAGAGGTTCTGTTGCTCCTGAGTGATGCCTTCCTAGCCAGCAGTTGGAGCAGAATTTGCCTACTCAATGCGAGCTCTTTGGCTGGAGAAAGGGTTGCTAACCAGGCACAAAAGTGGAGTGGGGAGTAAAAGATTGGGAGAGAAAATGGACTGGCCTCCACCCTTCAAAGTAAATCTCAGCCTTGCATTACAACTTAAGCCATAAAGCTTTAGGCCTCATGCCTGGTCCCACTAAAATCAATGGGCTTTTTGGCATTGACTCCAGCGGGAGCCAGATCAGACCCTAACTCAGTTTGCTGGAAGCTAAAAGCCCAGAGTGAAGGATGTATTTTTGGTTGTAGAGGTGAGTGTGCCCCATAAAGGACAGTGACTCTTACTGAATTCCCTTTACCTTTTGCCCTCAGTTTATTATTACAGCTTCAGAATAACACAGAGTGGTGATGGATGCTTTTGTGAAGGTCCAAGCCCAACCTGGATCTCAAATTTTGTTGTTTCACAATAAAATGCAAGCGTCCCCATTATTTTTACTAGCCAAATTAAGCTATTCTTCCCAATGAAGTTATGATACTGTAGTGAATCGGCCTGGCTCCCGACGGCCCCTGAGAGGGAGGAGCCAGAACAGGCCCCCAAGTGGGCGGAGCCACCGCCACCTGTTCCCGCCCCCCGGAAGTGGGCGGAGCCACCGGCACCTGTTCCCGCCCCCCGGAAGTCAAGGGGCGGGACAGGAAGTATAAAAGCCAAGCCCCAGCACTCAGTTGGAGCCTAGCGGCCGGAGAGGCCAGACGCTCCTGCTCGGGCTCCTGGTAAACCGCGCCTGCCCCGAGCCAGGTATCCTGCCGCTGCCGGACCGAGCCTCCCCAGAGCCACGTACCCCGAGGCGGACTGGCCGAGCCTCCCCAAAGCCACGTACCCTGACGCCGACGGACCGAGCCTCCCCAGAGCCAGGTACCCCGAGGCAGACTGGCCGAGCCTGCCCCGAGCGAGGTACCCTGAGGCAGACTGGCCGAGCCTGCCCCGAGTGCGGTATCCCGAGGAGCGGCCCGAGTGTGCCCCTGCCCCGAGACCGGAGGAGCGGCCCGACCGAGACAGCCCTCAGCAGACCGAGGAGCCCATGGTGTGGGACCCTGTTGCCGAGCCCGACGAGGAACAGGTATCTATGGAGGAGGAGGAGATGGGAAGTAGCCCGGGGATAGCCGATACCAAACCCATGTCAGTGTGTTGCGGTCAGGATCCCCACTGACCCCGCGGCAGACCGACTGTTGCGGATAGGGCCCCGGGCTGGAACACAGTGGAGTGGGTGGGCCTGTGTTCCCCCCTGCCACCCCACGCCGGGTGGCAGTCTCTCCTCCTCCCTGCCTAGGGCCCAGACGGCCGCAAAGCGCTCAGGTCCTGCTACCAGGACCTGGGCTACCTTAACTTTGTTCGCTGCCCCGCCCTGACTAAGGGCCTGGGCTCCTTGACTTTGGTTGCTGCCCCGCCCTGACTAAGGGCCGGGGCTCCTTGACTTTGGTTGCTGCCCCGCCCTGACTAAGGGCCGGGGCTCCTTGACTTTGGTTGCTGCCCCGCCCTGACTAAGGGCCGGGGCTACCTGACTTTGTTGACGGCCCCGCCCTAATTGAGGGCTTGGGTCCCCTAACTTTGGTTTGGCTCAGCTCCTGAGGCAAGGACCTGAGCCCCTTGACCCCTGCTTTATTGCCCGCCCGGACCAAGGGCCTGGGTTTCCCCCGATTGCCTTACCACGGCTCAGCTCCTGAGGGAAGGACTGAGCCCTGAGATTGTGTTCCTGCCCAACCCCTGAGGCAAGGACTGGCGCCCAAAAACCCCTAACCCTACGTGTTAGGTGCCCCGCCCTGACTGAGGGCCGGGGCTTAGCTAGTCGCGGTATTGGCTCAGCCTGCAGGGAGGCTCTGAGCCCCTCGGACCCTTGTGTGTGGCCCCGCACTGAGCTAGCGCTTGGGGCCGGTTTAACCTTGTGCTTTTGTTTAGCCCCTGCCTGAGGGGCGGAGCCCCAAGACTTTCGGATCCCAAGGACCGATTTGGGGCCACCTAGTGAATCGGCCTGGCTCCCGACGGCCCCTGAGAGGGCCCAGCTCCCGCACCGGACTATTACAGATACGCACTTGGGGATCATAGAAACGTAGGGCTGGAAGGGACTTTCAGGGGTCACAGTCCATTCCCTTGCACTGAGGTAGGACCAAGTAAAGCCAGACCATCCCTGGCGACAGATGTTTGTCTAACCTGTTCTTAAAAACTTCCAATGATGAGGATTTCACAACCTCCCTTGATAATCTGTTCCAGTGCTCAAGCATCCTAGAGTTAGAAAGTTTTTCCTAATATCTAACTTGAATCTCCCTTGCTGCAAACCAAGCCAATTATTTCTTGCCCTCCACTCGGTGGATATGGAAAGCAATTGAACACTGTCCTCTTTATAACAGTCTTTTATATATTTGAAGACTATTATAAGTTTCCCTGTCACCCTTCTCTCCTTTAGACTAAGTGTGCCCAGTTCTTTCAACCTGAGAACACTAGGCAGCATCTGGGGGAAGGAATCGAGGGAGTATGGAGGCAGAAGATACAATGGTGGAATGTTGTTATATGTGTAAATTGTCTTGAATAAATAATCCGGTTTAGTCCTGCTAACTGCTTGGTTACTTCAGTCATAACATACTGATAGTTTATAAGCAATAATGAAAAGAGCAAGGTGGTGGAGGTGGAATCTGATGCCCGGAGGCGATTCTTTGAGGAATAAGTGGTGGAGGTATGCTAATGAACTAGGCTTTCTCCTCTGGAGTGCTGGGGTCTAGCAACTGAGGATGGGGCAAACTGATGCAGGCAAAATAAGGAAAAGATTTTTAAATAGCTTCTGGGTATTAGGTCTTTCCACACACCCCATGAGTTATGAACCTCCCCAAGCAATGAAACTATCTTCTATTTTGCAGGAGAATCCACTAAGCTGTAGAGCTGACCTCCAGAATGACAATGGAAAGCCGGAGGGCAGGTGAGAAAGAACAACAAACCAAGAAACTGTGAACTCGACCTGTGATCTTCATCAGAAATGAGCCAGTCTTGCCTTCTTGTAGTTTGTGTTTAATATGTGATGTGTCCTCTGTCAGGGAACTATATCTTGCCTTTGCAATGGGATGGACTCACTGGTCTAATAGGTTTTGTACATCTCTGCCACAATCCTTTCCTAGATTCAAAACTCCAACTGATCAGCATGTGGAATTCTGAATAATCACCCCACGATTGGCAATGTCCAAAAGCTTGAATAGCTCCAAAGGAGCAGTAGGCATGATTGCTTTATCTATGAGGAGATGCGTGCCTGGACAAAAACCTTGTATCTAAACCAGCCGCCTGGCCACTAATTTACAACAGGTCAAATTAAAATCTCTGATCTGAACACCCAGAACTTGAGGAATGTCTGGATCCACATCTGACTGTTGCTGTTCAGACCTCTATTTCTTATTATGAATTATGTACAGTAGTGCTTATGCTTAGAGATCCCAACTGCGAGCTATGCCCCGTTGTACGGGGCATCATATATACACACATTAAGAGATGCTACCTGCCCTGAAGAGTTCACAATGTAACTTGAATTCATGTTAATTTTTTTTTCCTCCAGTGAAACCCCGTAAGAAATCTGCCATCCCAGGCGTGACCATCAAGCAGTTTGTTGAAGTTATTCCAAAAGGATGTAGCACGCCTGACTTTGAGCGAAAACCCATCACCCTAACATTACAGGAAGGTGAGACGCTCTTAAGAAACAGTTAATCTCACAGAGCCAGATTCTTGATCTCAGGCCTTGCCTGCATGAGAAAACTATCGATTTAATTGTCAGTTTTGAAACAGCTAATTCAATACAATTTTCTTGTGTAGCTAAAGCCTCAGTCACGTTGGTATAAGTCTGGAGTAACTCCCCTGATGGCAGTGGAGTTATTATTGCTTTATGCCATGTAAGTGAGATCAGAATCTGGCTCATATGGTATAAGCGGAGCCATTTGGACTCTACAGCAGGTTGATCTACTTCCAGGTGATCAGAGTAAAATGTTTTACAATAGAAACTTCAGCTGGTTTATTTTCATTTTCCACTGAAGCATTTAAAAAGCTCAGTATTGAGATTAAGCCCCCATTAAAGTGAGGGGTGGCAGGAGGGCTTGACACCTCCATTTGTGCTCTGCTGGCCCCACTACATCAAGGAGTAGTGTGATGGAGGTTGCAGCAGGGCCGGATTTCTAGTGAGGCACAGTAGGCACGTGCCTAGGATCATCGGTGTACTAGGGGTTCCTAAAAGTTAAAAGTGGGTTAAAAGTTAAAAAGTTAATACAGTCCGCTCTCCTGCTGCAGCTGGGCTCCTGGCCACCCTGCGTGTGGGGGTGGAGTAGGGTGAGCATCCGAGTCAGCCCACCTGGGGACTCTGTGAGCCACAACCTGGGTGGAGCAGCTGCTGAAGGTGCTGGGAGCGTCCCAGCCCCTTCCCAATCTCGAGCGCCCTGCTGCCTCTGCCCTGTGCCAGGGAGAGAGTGGGAGGGGCGTGGCCAGCGCTGGGCTGCAGGAGGGATGGAAGACACCCGGGGACCGCTCACCATGGGGAGAAGTACAGTCCCCCCTTGCGGCTCACCTGGGGCGGGTGGGCTGCGCCACAGCTCGGGCTGGGAGCACCATGCATGTAGGGTTGCCAGATGTCTGGTTTTTGACCAGAATGTCCAGTCGAAAAGGGACCCTGGTGGCTCCAGTTGGCACCGCCGACCGGGCTGTTAAAAGTCTGGTTGGTGGTGCAGCAAGGGCCCAGGGCTGAGGCAGACTCCCTGCCTACAATGGCTCCGTGCAGCTCCTAGAAGCGGCTCCCAGGACCCTGCGGCCCCATGGCGCATGGGCGGCCAGGGAGGCTCTGTGTGCTGCCCGCGCCCCGACTGTTGGCTAAACAGCTCCCATTGGCCGGGAACCGAGACCAATGGGGGCTGAGGGGGCGGCACCTGAAGGTGTGAGGGCAGCGCGCGTAGCCTCACTGGTTGCCCATGCGCCTATGGGCCGTAAGAACCTGGTGGCCGGTTCCTGGGAGCCGCGGTAAACACCGCTGAGACCCTGCACTGCCTCCCGCACCCCAACCCTCTGCCACAGCATAGAGTGCCCTCCTGCATCCAAACGCCCTCCTGGAGCTGGCACCCCGCACCCGCCCAACACCCTGCCCCAGCCCTGAGCCCTCCCTGCACCCCAAACCCCTGATCCCCCGCCCCCCCCCAGAGCCCACCCCCCCAGCCGGAGCCCTCCCCCCCCCCACATCCCAACCCCCAGCCCGGAGTCCCCTCTCACATCCAACCTCCCTCTCGGAGCCTGTACCCCGCGATCCCCCTCACACCCCAAACCCCTTGCTCCAGCCCTAATCCCCCTCCTGCACCCCAAACCTCTCATCCCCCACTGCACCCCAGAGCCCACACCCCCAGCCAGAGCCCGCACCCCCTCCCACACTCCAAACCCCTTGGCCTCAGCCTGCTCCTGCACCACAAACCCCACATCCCTGGCCCCATCTCACAGCCCAAACCCCTAGCCAGAGCCCTCACCCCCCCGCACTCCAACTTCCCGCCCCAGACCTGAGTCCCCTCTTGCACCCCAAACCCCTCATCTACGGCCCCACCCCAGAGCCCATACCCCCAGCCGGGGCCCTCACCCCCTCCCACACTCCTAACCCCTCATCCCTCAGCTGCAGCCCAGAGCCCACACCCCCAGCCGGAGCCCTTCCCCACCACACACACCCCAACCCCCTGCCCCAGCCCGAAGCCCTCTCCTGCACCCTGAACTAGGGTGACCAGAGGTCCCGATTTTACAGGGACAGTCCCGATATTTGGGGCTTTTTCTTATACAGGCTCCTATTACCCCCCCACCTCCTGGCCCAAGTTTTCACACTTGCTATCTGATCACCCTACCCTGAACCCCTCATTTCTGGCCCCACACCAGAGCCCTCACCCCCAGCTCGAGCCCTCACCCCCCTCCCGCACCCCAACCCCCAGCCCAGTTTGAGTGAGGGTGGGAGAGAGTGAGCAATGGAGGGAAGGGGGATGGAACAAGCAGGGGCTGAGGCCTGGGAGAAGGGGCAGGGCCTCAGGGCAGGGGCGGGGCAGAGTGTTTGATTTTGTGCGATTAGAAAGTTAGCAACCCTACATGCATGGTGGAGGGTCTCGTGCCTTCCCAGGGAGGACGTGTTTATATTTCTTTATGTTTCATTTTTTACGGAAAACATGAATGTCAGCTGTAGGCAGGGGGAGCGTTGAACATGCTGTGTCTAGTGGCGTATCAGGTGTAAATCCGTCCCTGGGTTGCAGCGTGTGGTATTTACGGGAAGACCAGTTCATCATCACCAAAGGCCTAATCCAAAGCCCACTAACATCTGAGGAAAGACTCCCATTGATTTCAATAGACTTTGCATCGGGCCCTAGAGCAGTGTTTCAGATTGTATTTATGGACTCTGCAGAATGTGGCAAAGCCTGTGTAAAGTCCCTAACTCTGCAGGATGGATAGATTTCCAGCACCTGCAGGTTTCCCTTTTCTCCTCTCTCTCCATACAATCATGTCACTTGTCCATAGACTGTTGTGCATTTTATAGAGGAATGCAATGCCCTCTAGTGGTGCCCCAGATTTTTACCAGGGACATCCACAATAAATACGGTCCTTTATTATTATGTTTAGTTGTATTTGCATAATACCAGAGGCCCCAGTCATGGACTATAGGACCTTGTTGTGCTAGGCACTGTATGGACACAGAACAAAAAGATGGTCCCTGCTTAGGGCTAGTCAAAAATTTTCAATTGAAACTTTTTTCCAACTGAAAATTGGAGTTTGGACAAAATGAAAACTCCCATGGGGAAGGGACTGCTTTCTGTGAAAAGTTTCCATTTTTTGTTGGAAAACAATGTCTAGTTTCTGGCTGTTTGGGGCTGAAAACTGGAAAAAATGTTTTTCAATAAAAATTCTAACTTTTCTCTGGAAACAAAGACATTTTCTGACCACCTCTACTGTCCTCACATCTACTACGCTAAAGGGACCCTCAGAAACTAGCATTTAGTGGTGACAATTTACTGTCTGTGCTTGGGATAATTTACTGCATGTGTGTTGGGAAGATTGCAAAAGTAACCAATGTGTCTCTCAAGGTGAAAAGAAAAGGAGGGAGCTGGGTGGAGTCAGCAGAAGCCAAATGGACAAGATGCTGAGACGATGCAGGGAATATGGCATAACTCTTGTGCACTGAGGATAGGGCCTGATTCCTCAGAAAGGGTTAATGAAAATTTCTCTGTTAAGAGAACATAAATTCCAAATACTGAATAGAGTTTTTATGCTGGATTGGGGATCTCTCTCTTCTTTAAAATTGTCCTTTCCCTTTATAGCCACTGATGATTGGAATCACTGGGGCTATTTGCTGATGGTGCATCTGCCAGACTGGTGGCCAGACATGGCTAAATAGCAGAGCTCTCATCAGTAGCTCTGTGTGTGTGTGTGTGTGTGTGTGTGTGTGTGTGTGTGTGTGTGTGTATCCTGCATGTTACAAGGTTTCGAACTGAGATCCTTAAAATTCATATGCAACATCCTTAATAGATTATGTACCTCCCCCCCAAAAAAACCCAAACAAACTTTTTTAACAGAACATTAAGGTTTTTTAACATTAACATGTGGGAAAAAATCAAATTGGGCCTGAAGTGGAACCCCAAATCCACCCCACACCCGCACAAATGTTGGTGTGGTTGAATCCAGATCTGGATCTGAATTTTTAGGATTAAACTCAGTCCTACAAAAAATGCATTTTCTGCCTAGAAATAAAAATTCAGGGAAGAAATCATATTGGTCAGTGGAGGAGTTTGAAAGATACTTTTCAAGTCAGCTTTTTGAAAAGTAGGCAGCTCAACTGTTGCGTGGTCCTATTTTATCCAAGCTCCTGCCTCCTCCCCTAAGTCAGTGGTTCTCAAAACCAGTCCGCCGTTTGTTCAGGGAAAGCCCCTGGTGGGCCGAGGGATGTGCCGGCCGCCCTTCCCACAGCCCCCATTGGCCTGGGATGGCGAACCGTGGCCAGTGGGAGCCGCGATCGACCGAACCGGTGGACGCAGCAGGTAAACAAACTGGCTCGGCCCACCAAGGGCTTTCCCTGAACAAGCGGTGGACCGGCTTTGAGAACCACTGCCCTAAGTGACTAATTTTTTGCCTCTTTTGAAAGGTAAAAATGCCATGTTCAGGGCTGTGGTTAAGGGTCAACCCCCACCGAAGGTGATATGGAAGCGGAGCAAAGAAGAAATGAACAATCCTGACAAATACCAAATGTCCTTCAATGGCATTACAAATGAGTTCATCCTGCAGGTAAGGGTCAGCTATGGCATACTGGGCCCAGCATAGCAGAGAGAAAGAGATAGGAAGAGAGAAACCCAGGCTGGGATAGCACGGGGGCTGTGGATATCAACAGAGCTGTGTGAGGAACCCAGGACAAGAATAGCAGAAAGTAGTGCAGCTCAGGATTGAAGGGATCAGCAGATCTCTGTACAAGGAACTCAGGACTGGACTAGGAGGGGATGTTAGAGGTCAAGACTGGGGTGCATTGGAGGAGCTATGTAGAGTCAAGGTGCAGGAACTTCACCCTGGGCTTTGTAAACTGAATTGTCCCAGAGGAGCACAGTTGTCTAGATGGATCATGGATGGAAGTGAGTATGGGTGGCATTGAATCTGCAACAACACACAGCACTAAAGAAAACAAAGCTTTTAGGAATGTCCTGGGAACAGAAAGAGGATCAAGGATGATACTTTGCAGCTACTTCATAAGGAGATGAGCAACTGGGAAGAGGGAGAGATTCCTCATTCACTACTGCTGCCAGCTCATACTATCTTCTTCTTTTTAAGATAAACAAACTCACTGCAGAAGATACTGATTTGTACCATTGCTCTGCTGTGAATGAGTATGGGGAAGCTGCATGCACTGCTGGCCTCAAGGTCATTCAAGGTAGGACTGGCTGGGTTCTGTGTGAAAACCGTCTGATTTGACTTTCACAGAGAACAGTCTATGCTGGTGGTTGCTGAGCGCATTGTCCAGGTTTCCTTTCTCTAGGAGAGGGAGTATTGTACACACAGGAGATTGGACTTCATCAGTCGCTCCTCCTACTTTGGTGATGGATAGAAGTCACCTGTAATAACAGACAGACAAAGGTTGGTTGTGTGGTTTTTGTATTGGCCCGTGACTCAAAAGCTCCAAGTTTAGTGTCTGGTTCTACTGCAGTCTTCCTGTGTGACCCTGGGCAAGACTTTAAGTCTTCTTGTGCCTCAGTTCCCCATCTGTAAAATGGGGGTGGTAATATTTCCTTTATCAATTTAGATTATAAGATCTTTGGGGCAGGGACAGCCTCTTCCTATGTGTATGTACAGCTAGCTCAAAGGGGTTCTGATCTTGGTTGGAGCTTCTAGGTACTGCTATAATACAAATTAAAGGAACTGGAACATGAAATTGCAAGCCCATTAGCAAGTATTTTTAATGAATCTGTAAACTCAGGAGTTGTACCATATGACTGGAGAATTGCTAACATAGTTCCTATTTTTAAGAAAGGGAAAAAAAGTGATCCGGGTAACTACAGGCCTGTCAGTTTGACATCTGTAGTATGCAAGGTCTTGGAAAAATTTTTGAAGGAGAAAGTAGTTAAGGACATTGAGGTCAATGGTAATTGGGACAAAATACAACATGGTTTTACAAAAGGTAGATCGTGCCAAACCAACCTGATCTCCTTCTTTGAGAAGGTAACAGATTTTTTAGACAAAGGAAATGCAGTGGATCTAATTTACTTCGATTTCAGTAATGCATTTGTTACAGTTCCACATGGGGAATTAGATGGGGATCAATATGAAAATTGAAAGGTGGATAAGGAACTGGTTAAAGGGGAGACTACAACGGGTCATACTGAAAGGTGAACTGTCAGGCTGGAGAGAGGTTACTAGTGGAGTTCCTCAGGGATCGGTTTTGGGACCAATCTTATTTAATCTTTTTATTACTGACCTTGGCACAAAAAGTGGGAATGAGCTAATAAAGTTTGTGGATGACACGAAGCTGGGAGGTATTGCCAATACAGAGAGGGACTGGGATATCCTACAGGAAGATCTGGATGACCTTGTAAACTGGAGTAATAGTAATAGGATGAAATTTAATAGTAAAAAGTGCAAGGTCATGCATTTAAGGATTAATAACAAGAATTTTTGTTATAAACTGGGGACACATCAGTTGGAAGTAACAGAGGAGGAAACAGACCTCAGAGTATTGGTTGATCACAAGGATGACTATGAGCCACCAATGTGATATGGCTGTGAAAAAAGCTAATGCGGTCTTGGGGTGCATCAGGCGAGGTATTTCCAGTAGAGATAAGGAGGTGTTAGTACCATTATACAAGGCACTGGTGAGGCCTCATCTGGAATATTGTGTGCAGTTCTGGTCTCCCATGTTTAAGAAGGATGAATTCAAACTGGAACAGGTACAGAGAAGGATGACTAGGATGATCCGAGGAATGGAAAACCTGTCTTATGAAAGGAGACTCAAAGAGCTTGGCTTGTTTAGCCTAACCAAAAGAAGGCTGAGGGGAGATATGATTGCTCTCTATAAATATATCAGAGGGATAAATACCAGGGACGGAAAGGAATTATTTAAGCTCAGTACCAATGTGGGCACAAGAACAAATGGATATGAACTGGCCATCAGGAAGTTTAGACTTGAAACTAGACAAAGGTTTCTAACCATCCAAGGACTGAAGTTCTGGAATAGCCTTCCAAGCGGAGCAGTGGAGGCAAAAGACATATCTGGCTTCAAGACTAAGCTTGATAAGTCTATGGAGGGGATGGTATGATGGGATAGCCTAATTTTGGCAATTAATTGATCTTTGATTATTAGCGGTAAATGTGCCCAATGGCCTGTGATGGGATGTTAGATGGGGTGGGATCTGAGTTACTACAGAGAATTCTTTCCTGGGTGTCTGACTGGTGAGTCTTGCCCACATGCTCAGGGTTTAGCTGATTGTCATATTTGGGGTTGGGAAGGAATTTTCCTCCAGGGCAGATTGGCAGAGGCCCTGGGGGTTTTTCGCCTTCCTCTGCAGCATAGGGCACAGGTCACTTTCTGGAGGATTCTCTGCACCTTCAAGTCTTTAAACCACAAGTTGAGGACTTCAATAGCTCAGACATAGGTCAGGGGTTTGTTACAGAAATGGGTGGGTGAGATTCTGTGGCCTGTGTTGTGCAGGAGGTCAGACTAGACGATCATAATGGTCCCTTCTGACCTTAAAGTCTATGAGTCTAAATATTTACTAATAACTGGGAGTTATTGGGAATCCATGACACCTGGACACACAAATCCAGGCTGGGATTTCCCTGTGACTTTCACAGATTAGAGATCCTGGGATGGAAGACACTTGTATAAGTATTAAGGCTTGTTAGTAGCAACAGAGGGTCCTGTGGCACCTTTAAGACTAACAGAAGTATTGGAGCATAAGCTTTCGTGGGTGAATGCCCACTTCATCAGACACAAGTAATGG